GTGGGGAGTAGGGGGGCTGGGGGGTCGGGGAGGGCAAAGGGAGGAAGGGGCGGGGGGCTATCAGGTGTGTGGGGGTCGCTTTGGGGGGCCTGGGGGTGTAGAGGCAGGGAGGGAGTGCAGAGGCACGGAGATGGGTGGAAATGGGGACCAGCGCGGAGCTCGGGGAGAGGTGGAGCGTGAAGGAGCGCAGGGGTGTGGGGGCTCAGGGAAGGGGATGGGCAGAGGTTTGTGGTTCTGGAGCAAGGCTCGGGGTCAGTGCAGGGCTGGGGCACAGGGTGCAGTGGGGAGAAAAAGGGCCCTTAAAGGTTGGGTAATGGTTATGGGCGGTGCCGCCCATGGGTGGCGAGGGCCTGGCGTGGGTCAGGGATTGAGGTGCTGTCTGTGCCGAGCGTCGGCGCTGCTGTAGAGTGTGGGGCGAGCACGGCTCTTCTCTGCCCACAGAAAACGGTGTATGGGGCCAACGTCATCGTGTTTGAAGGGATACTGGCTTTTGCCAACAAGGAGTTGCTGAAGGTATCGCTGCCTGATGCGGCTGGTGGCCCGTCCTGGTGCGTGGCGCGGGAGGGGGCACGCGGTAGTGTGCAGCGGGTGGGCGGGGCGTGACATCGTGGGTGTCATCAAGCAATACAACAAATTTGTGAAGCCGGCCTTCGAGCAGTACATCGAGCCCACCGTGCAGGTCGCCGACATCGTGGTGCCCAGGGGTGAGGCTGTGCTGCGTTTGCCAGACCTGAGCCGAGCATCGGGAGCGGGTGTCCTGGGACGGGGTGGGGTCAGTGTGCGTGCGTCTGACCTGGCTTCTCCGCTCTCCTGTCAGGTGGGGAGAACTTTGTGGCCCTGGACCTCATCGTGCAGCACGTGCACAGCCAGCTGGAGAAGGTGAGGGCTCGTTGATCGCTGCTGGCACGGCCAAGGAGGAGGAGGGGGATTCTGCATGCAGAGGGGAGGGTGTGGCTGCTCGCAGCCCTGTGCTCCTGGAGCACCCAGAGGCTCTTGGTGTTGCCTCTCTCTTTACAAAAGGTCTCAGCTCAGCTCTCGGGACAGACAGAGCTGCAGCTCAGGGGCTGGGGCAATGGAGACAGGTCTGGGCACAGCGCCTGCCCTGGCAGTGACACCTGGCACTTGCGGGCTGGCCAAACCCCGCTTGCCTGCTCTCGCCCGTGGTCCCGGTCAGCTCTTCTGATCTCCGCTGTCCCCACCGTGCTCACCCCTGGCTGCGCCCCGGCAGCCTGCCCTTGCCTCCCAGCTCTGCCCAGAGGTGGTTTTCCTGCTCTCGGTGGAGCCCCAGGAGGAGGGGTGGGAGCTGGAGTGGGGCTGCCCCGTGGCTGTGCCTGGCCGGTGTAGTGACTGGGTGTCCTTTCTTTCCCCTTCTGCCACGCTGGATGACTCTGCTCTACCACCCAGCGCGAGATCACGGTCAGGTATGTGGGGACCCTGCTGGCCGCCCCGGGACCGGTTCCTGGGCTGGGGGC